CGCATAAATAAATAAATATAAATAAATAAATAAATAAATAAATAAATAAATAATAATGTAAATAACTATAATGCCGTTTTAAGCCCACAACAGCCTTAGCAGTAATTCCTCAATATCATAAAATACCATTATTGCACCTAGAATAGTTTAGCTCAGTTTGCTTATCTCTAAATGGTGCATAAAAGTCAACATTTTTGTGAAATGAATGAGGAAGATCTATAGAAGATTTTATTTGTAATAAAAGATTAGATCTTTCCTAATGCCATTAAGAAATGCCATTCTCTGTGGGAACTATCTGTACTTTCTGCGCAATTTCTCTGTAAACCTAAACTCCTATAAAAATAAAGTGTATTACTTAGGGAAAAAAAGAAGGAAAAAAAAAGAAATACCCATTATCTCAAAATCTGAAATAAATGAAAATCTGTTTGTTTAGGGTTTTTTTTTTTAATGACTTATAAAGTTTATTTTTCTCATCTTAGAACTTCAGAGCTAGGCAGGTTCGTAGAAATAATATAATCTAGTTTGCAAACTTTTAAAAACTATAACCTGTGGTAAGAAAACTAGAGTTTCACTAATGGTTCTTGGCCCACAATTTGAAAAATATTGTTCTAATCCAATTGCTTCATTATGTAGATGAGGAAACAGCTTTAGAGAAGAACATGTCATGCTCAAGGTGACCCAGAGAATTCATGTGAGAATGGGGACTGAAACTTCTAACTTTCAGTTAGTGGGGGGCTAGGGATCAGACAGCCCAGATTCAAGTCCTGGCTCTGCACTCATGGGCTTAAGCAAGTTATTTTTGTCTCTTTCTTGATTTACAAAATGAGGACAATTATATCATCTGCCTCAAAGCATTAGGATGATTAAATAAAATGGGTAAACTCCTGAGCACCATGACTGGCATGTATTTGTTTTTATAAATTATTATTGTATGTTCATTATAACAGAAAGGTACCAGAATACTTGTAAAGTCCATTGGCTTTTACCAAGAAAACCGCAAGAGAAACAAATCTCGACTATTTGGATTGAAACATCTTACTCTATTATACTTACTCTTCAAACCCTAAAACACAGAATAGTTATACTTTGTTTTGAGAATTTTGTTATGTGCTTGGAACAATTCTTGAGATTTAAGACCAAAAATTCATCAGGATTAAGAATAAATGTTACTTCCCTGGTATATTTTGAAAAATGGTAATATAATTGCTTGTATTTTTCTTCTAGGAAAATATTTAGGATTAACTTTAATTGGGGATCTTTGTGGGTGATCTTCCCTAAACACATGATAAAAATTAGTACCTATAATATAAGAAGTCAAATTATAGAGTGAGACTATGAAATTGAATGCAACCACAAGAAATAAGAAACAAGCCACAATATGTGGACATATTAAACTTCTCCTGGTAGAATAGACCATATTCTTGAAGTGAAATTAGGAGGAAGGAAAGGTGTTTGAAAATAGCCTTAACCCAAGAGAAAGAGATGAATAGGGGGCACAGTAGTGATATTTAATGGAAAAATTATTCTAGAGGCTTACATATTCTCTTGTTCCTTATGATATAGATGCCTTACTAGAGGAACTAGAACGCTCCACCCTCCAGGACAGTGGTGAATATTCCAACCCAGCTCCTCTTTTCCTGGATCAGCATTCCGGAAAGGAGAGTAACCTTGCTGAGACTTCAAAGATCCTGTCCGTTCAGGATAATGTAAGTCCCTTGCCAGTAACTTTTCATTTATTGTAATATCTTGAATATAGATGTTTGAGTGCATTTCTAAAAATGAATTGTACCAAACATAAAATGATACAAAAAGAGAATCACATATCCAAAAGAGGGAAAAAATAATCCCTCGATGTTAAAGATGATTGTTTTTGAAGACAGGAGAATTGAGAAAATCATTACAGAAGACTAAACCTTTGAGAACTAATATTTTTCTAATAAGGGCATGATAACAGGCAGAGTGTTGCCCACTTCACTTGGGATATTCCAATTTTACTGTCTGGGCATCAGAGATGCATGTTGCAGTTGGACTGGAATGGAACTCAGTAAGGCCAGAGATCACTTCCGGGAAAGCCAAATGGCAGCTCAGAAAGGTTTTCTCAGGGTGACTTTTCAGGGTCACTACTTTTCTGGTCTTATTTTCTGCTGAGTAGATTAGGAAATTCAATTATTACTGTTCCCAGAGATGATGACAATGTAGAAAACCAAATCAAGCTAACTAAACTCACAAGAGATGATGTATAAGAAAAACCCAGAAGTCCAATTTATTAATTTGTGGTTACACTTCAAACTGTCAGGTAGAACAGATATTACTATTTGCTAATATATTTATTATCTTCCTATGGATAAATCTATGTGAACCTACATTATAATTAGAAGGTTGCTTGCTGGGAATGTAATTAGTATAAGAAGAATTAAGTAGATGCCCTTTGTATCTGTCGTTTTTGTACTGTGACATTCTGATTCATCCTTGTACACTCTACGGAATAAACAGTAGCAAAGACCTGAAATTTGAGCTGGTGGGTAGTTTCCCTCCCTAAATGTTTTTCCTTCCAGACACATACACGCAGTTTTAAGGATACTCATTTATCTCTCTACTAGAGAGCTATCATCTTTGTTCTCACTGTAAGATTATAGTCATAGGCTCCTGTGTCCCCAGGCAATCAGTTCTCAACATAGCAGCAGGGTGATCCTTTAAAACTTAAGTCAGACCATGTCATTCTTCTACTCAAAACTCCTCAATGACTTTCCATCTCATTTGGAGTAAAAGCCACATTCTTTATGCTGACCTTTGTCGGGTAACCATATGTCCTGGTTTACCTAGAAGAGGCCTGAGTTTATGCTTGTTTTTCTGACATCCTATTGACTTTACATTTTACTCCAGATTTTCAATTATTTTTTTGAAGTTTTATTATTAGCATTTGTGTTAAAGTAAGCCAGCGTGGCTTAACAGACCTCTCCTTGGCCCTTCTGGCGTCTTCCGTGGTCTCATCTGGCAGTACATAAGACAAATATGCAATGAACAGAGCTCTCACTTACTATAACTAAATACAAAAGATGACTAATGACAACTCATCTCTTTTCCTGATCCTGTTCAGACAAAACCTAACTAGGAGCAGCCTTTCTAGGATAATATGTGGGGTGCTGGCTGTTCAAACTAAGAGCTCAAGCACGAGCGGTCAGAGACAGCTATCTCCTCTGGTCTTTCGTGGTGTCAGGAAAATTGTTGAGGCTTTTTTCCCTTCTGGCCACTTGGTGTACCACCACTCATGGCCTGCCATGGTCCATGTGGTAGCCTGTGAGATGCATAGAGACTCCTCAGGGTCAGTAAGAAATATGAGAACTTGTGGCTTAATGTCAAACAAATTATGTTTAGGAAATGCAGGCTAAGCATTCTTGCCATAGAGTATAGTGTAATCTGAATGTTCTTGTTCAAGCACTTTTGCTTTTATTTGTATGTGTAAAGCTCTAACCACTTGTTTTATTATTTGGTAATACTTTTTAATTTTACAATAAACCCTTTCAGCAGTTAGCTCAAACCAAAACCAAACCTAAAAGTGCATGTTAATTTTGAAGAAGCATTGTCATCTTCTTCAAAAGTTAATAAAATAATGTGCCTGAAGATGACAATTCAGCATGTGCCTGAAGATGACAATTCAGCATGTCATTGTGAAGCTCACCTTTTCATTTGTGTAGAATGATTTTTCTAAATTAAAGTTGCTCATTTTCAATTCCAAGTTTTCTTGTGCCTGCAAGTGAAGTGAACTGGTGATGATTAATGAGTTGATTCTTTTTGCAAACCATCAAATCATGTCAGTTTTATTTCAGTGTTATCAAAGCCCTCAATTGGAAAATTTACTTCCAAAATTTCATTTTTTTTAATCTAATGCAAAGGATCAAAATAAAACATTTGGAAGTTCATTCTTTGGTCAAAAAAATGAAATATCTGACATTGTTAATGCCATTGTAAATTTAACTTAAAAGCTCAGTAGTGAAGATAAAATGTATTTTGTGGTGAGAATATGAATATAAATGTTGGTGGAGCATAGCATTGTGGTAAAAACAATGTTCTTACCAATTTCAAAACCTATGGAGCAGAAATGTACTTGGAATTGGTTGTGATGTGCACAAAATTTGTGACTGCATCCAAACAAGCTGTAGTATTCTACCAATCAAATTAGAAACTGTAATTGTCAAAATTATAAATACTATATATATATATACAGAGAGTATATAAGTAACTGATCTGCAAAACTTTTGTGACAGAAGATGATATCAAAAACAGTAGTCTCCCTTTATCCATGGTTTCACTTTTCATGGTTTCAGTTACCTGTGGTCAACTGCAGTCTGAAACTATGAAATGAAAAATTCCAGAAAAAAAACAATTCATAAGTTTTCAATTGCATGCTGTTCTGAGTGGCATGATGAAATCTCACACCATCCTGCTTTGTGCTACCTTGGACGTGAATCATTCCATTATCCAGTGTATCCACACTGTGCATGCTACCCACCTGTTAGTCACTTAGTAGCCTTCTCAGTTATCAGATTGACTATCATGGTCACATAACCCTTATTTTAACTTAATGACCCCAAAGGACAAGAGTAGTGATGTTGTCATAATTGTTTTACTTTATTGCTAGTTATTGTTAATCTCTTACTGAGTCTAATTTATAAATTAAATTTATTCATAGGTATGTATGTGTAGGAAAAAACAGTATAATACAAAGAAAGATTTCAGCATGGCTGTATGTATTTTCTCTCTGTGTTGCCTATCATTAATTGAATTTTGAAAATTCCTGGGCTTCCCAAAAACCACTTTGTAAAGCAACCCACATTTAGGTTGCATTATGTGCAAAATCAGTTGGAAATCTTTAATCAAATTATTAAATGAATGTAGCATGAAAAATTCAGCTTTTGAAGCTTTTAGCAAGTTACAATTATGTAAAATAAAGCTTGCAAAAAGGAAGAAGCTCAAATTTCTCCCTACAAAAGCTGGAGAGAAATTGAACAAATCAAAATATGAGAGCCCATACGATTAAATTACCTAACTTGAAAATCGTGCTTTGGAAAATCTTGACTTTGATGGATTTTGACTCCTAATTTTAATTGGATAAATTTATATTCTCCACCAGAATGTAATGAAATTATGTAAGTCTGTGATTTGCAGTGTCTATACTTGGTGAAATGTTAAAAAGAATCAAAAATAGAGACAAGTTGTAAATTTTGTCTTGTAATATTATTAAAGAAAGGTGCTCTGCATGGAGGCAAAAAGACAGTATCTGTGAAAATATTGGCCTGAAATATTTACACATTTTAATATAAAAAATAAAATTGAGAATATCTTCCATTTAGCAGAATTTTCTCTGAAATTATAGGTTCATTGGTAGCTATAGAGGGAGTATTTTCTCAGTTAAAAATGATACATATAGTTGTCTACAGAGAAGCATCAATTAAAAGCATCAGCAATTCAATTCTATGAAAATAATACCACCATATTGAAAAAAACCCACATTTTTCAGAAAAATTTCCATATCACAATGTTAGAGACAGCAATGGCTAAGTAACCAATTAAAGTACGTGAATATATATCAAGAATAATTATTTACTTGTGCTATTGTTAAATGTTCAAATAATCATAGAGGTTTTTAAATTATTTGTTTTAATGTTCATAGTTATGTGTCATTTAAAAATATTATAGAAATTTTTATTTTGAAAATAAATTTTGAATAGAATTACTTTATACGTCCATCAGTTTAATAAAACCAAATTTTGGCCAATAAATACATATTTCAATAACTACATAATATGAATTATTTTTAGAATCCCCTTTCATTCTGAAAAGTGTCCCAGTTTGAACAGTAAATTATATGGTCACCCTATCTGCATGATCTGGCTCCTTTGACTCTCTGCCCCTGTCTCCCTGGTTCACTCTGCTCAGGCCGCACTGGCCTCCTTGTTGTTCCACAGATGCTCCTGGGTGTTTTCCCTGCTGTTCCTTCTCCTGAATTGTGTCACCCCAGATATCTGCTTACTTTCTTCACCTCCTGTAAGTCAGGCGTCCTCTTCTGAGTGAGTCCTTTCCCAATCAATATGTCTATAATTGCCATTTCTCCTTTACATCCCACCTTCCACCTCTTGCTGAATTTTACATATTAATTTGTTTATTATCTTTTTCTCACCCCCAGAATGTAAGCTCCAGGGTAGACACATTTTATTGATTGTTTTGTTTTGTTTTCTGACCACTACACCCCAGGCCCTGGCATATGACAGGCACTCAATAAAATTTGTTCAATAAATACATGAGTTACTGACCAATCACCCTTTAGATTCACACTTATTTCTTTTCCTGTGTCAAGTTTAACTGTGTTATAATCTCCCCCCAGGTAGGGTCCTGTCTAGTTAAAGGGGCTTTGCTCTGACCCATTTTGTTTGCTTTATGGTTTAGGTTTTTTGTTTTTTTGTTTTTTTTTGTTTGTTTTGTTTTTTTTGCAGCTGGCTGGTAAGTGGTTCCAAACCTTTGACCTTGGTGTTACCAACACCACGCTCTCCCAAGTGAACTAACCAGCCAGCCTGCTTTATGGTTTCTATCTGAGGATGTTCTGCTTCTCCTTTTCAGTGCTTTCTAGGCAGGGAGGGGCTGCAAGTATTTGTTCACATGCCGACTGCTCTGCTTAGAATTTGGCCATTCTCTGCGGGATGGCTGATAGTACCTCTGTCTTATGAAAGGATATCTCACAGATATGCTAGTTATCAGTCTCTTCTAGAAGCTAAAAGCATCCTCTATCTTTAGGTGTTGATAAGCATCAACATTCTAATAACAGAAATTCATTTTTTGTTCTTCTCCATCACTCACATGTCTTAGGTGCAGCTCGTGTATACTACCAATATCCAGGAGCCCAATGTCTACAGGTATTTTTTTTATTACATATATTTAAAAATGAAAGTTACTAGGTAATTGTTATCAATCTTTGTGTAGTAATTTACTTTGCAAGTGTTTGTTATTAGAACTTCTACACTCTCCTCCTTTTTCCAGTCTTTGAGCAGAGCTTGTGCTAAGCTGTCTTGGCAACTTCTCACAGTGCCTGGCTTCCACTATTTCCTTTACCACCTGAAAATAGTCTCAGAAAGGCCACAGATGTTTTGGCACAGCTGTTCCAGACATCATGCTCCAGGTCACCAGACAGAAAACACACCTGAAGAAACTTACGTGAGATTTCAAAACATCAAAGCTAGGATCGGTGTAAATTAAGATGGTGGGTCTCTAATGAGTATATACTTCTTTCCATATTTGCTCAAAATTTATTTATTGGGTGGAGGCATTTTCTTTTAATAAAAGTTACATATTGAGACAGATTCACTCACTAAATAATTTCTTCTAGCCAGAGCAGAATTGACAGTCTGAAAAAATAAAAAGGTCACTTTTCTTGTTCTCTCTTCAGTTATAGCTTGCAATTTTTAACATCATACATCTTTCTGGGAAACAAACTAACAGGCTTAAAGTACAGACAGTAAAGACTCCTCCTGGTGAAGAGTAGTACACCGCACCTTATTTGGTTTCAGAATTGCAACCAGTAGTGACACAGATGAGACAACAACAGGGGAAGGACTGTGCTACAAGAAGTTTTTTTAAAACTTCCCACTTGAGGGCTCTTGCTACTGTGGTGGAAGTGAGGCCAATTTATTAATACAAATTGCCAGTTCCAAGAAGTTGCAGGATGAACATTCCTCCTAGTCCTCTTGCTCTCCATGCCGCCACCAGCCCCCACTGCACTGATTAAAAGAATCAAAACAAAGCAAAACAACAACAACAAAACAGAACCTGGTAAACAATAGGTTCTCAGTAAATATTTGTTTTTTGGTTTTTGTTTTTTTTTTTCCTTTTTTTGTGTCCGGCAACGGATCGCAACCCTCAGTGTCGTGCCCGTACCGGACCGGGACCGGCAACGGGATCACAACCCTCGGTGTTGTGTCCGCACCTCGCTCAGCCAGTGAGCGGGAACCTGTCTGTATGTGGGATCCGAACCATCGGTGGGAGCGCCGCCGCACTCCCAAGCGGCGCACTGTAGCAGTGCGCCACCGGGCCGGCCCAAATATTTGTTTTTTTAAATCTAGGAAACCAAGTCTTCAGTAGAAATACAAGTGAACACAAGAACATATAACATGAAAACTGGACCAACCAACAGCCATTTTCTGGTGTATCTGGCATTGTGGTCAATAGATAACACACTGATACTAACTTACTGACACTCCCTTCCCTGCACATAGTATGGGTCTCTGGCCTATTTCCAATCACTTCCCCCACTCTTGTCTTACTATGCATCCCAGGGGAGCTGACCCTTGCACAGGATCCAGGGTTAGTTGACTCTCATTAGCTTCAACCAATGGGAGGCGTTGTGGAGAGACTGGAGGGAAAAAGTACAGAAATCCAGGGCATTCCCCACCCTCTAGTCACTCTTTTTCCACAGGTCTCTGTCAGCAGTTGTCTTTCTTTTATGGCTTTAGCTGAAGCATGACAGGTTTGCTTTGGTTCCAGCTTCTGCCCATTGACCTGGGCCCCTGGACTTTGGTAACTTTGCCTCTTTGTCCCTTTAGCTTAAGTGTTGTAATGGCTTCTTGCCACAGCTAATCTCTGGGTTACCTCAATGTCTTCCGTTTTGATTCTTAGCTCTGCCGTCACCTGTGTAATCAAGTTTCTGGATTAAATTCTTCCTGCTTACTCACAGTGGTTTGTGTTTTCCTGACTGGACTTTGACTGATATTCTTCCCATTACTGAAAGATTCTTGCTGTGTAGGCCTATGTGGAGAATGATATAAAATCCAGGAGACCTAGTAAATATGTAATAGACTGATACTAATCCCCGAGGCTGGCATAACTCAGAGCTGGCAAGGCTAGCGTGTTCAGATAGAATATTAGACTCAGAAGTTATATTCCTGCATTCTGTTTCCACCACTTGCTCTGACTTGCTTAAATGAACTGAACATTGCTTTCAATATACGTTGAAGGTATATTCAATTATGGCTGTGAATATAGCTGTGAAATAATATTTCTAATATAGTTATATATCAATAGCAATATGAGTGGTACTTTAGAAGTGTGTCTTTTACATGAACAAAAATAATTTTGATAATAATAGGGAGGGACACTTTATAAAAATAGAACAGAAATAAATGGGGGGTGGAAATCCAGCACAAAAAAGCCTCTTACTTAAGAAATCTGGATTCTTTTAAATGCATCTCTTGTGATTTGTATTATATAGAAATCTCTGAGTAAAGAAGTCAGTTGTTGCTGCTGACTTAGCAAAGCACCTTTACTATCTTCAGAAGGTCAGGGGACAAATCAAAAGACCTCTGATTTGAGGTTCCTCTGTTTTGGGGAACATTTCCTTCAGCAGACACTTTACTTTGAAATCATCAACTGTTAAAGGTCTCTTGTTTCTTATTTTTAGGTTTTTAGTAATATAGAGGCCCTGATAAGAAACTACATTTATTCTGTGCTTGGGCACAGAGCAGCACCTAACATGTGTGAAGTGGTATCTCATAGTGGTTTTCATTTGCATTTGTTTCCCTGATGACTAATAATGTTGAGGACTGGATAGTTAGCTGAGTTGCTTAGAGCATGGTGCTGATACTATCAAAATCCAGGGTTCAATCTCTGTACTGACCAGCTGCCAAAATAAAAAACTTGAGCACCTTTTCATATACCTGTTGTCATTTTTTTGTCTTCTTTGGAGAAATATCTACTCAAGTTCTCAGCCCATTTTTTAATTGTGTATGTGGCTCTTCTTTTAGGTCTGCCAATCATTTTTCTTCATGGAAGTCTTACATATTTCTTGTTAGATTTATTCTTTGATATTGTATAATTTTTGTTAGTATTACGGACAGGTTTTCTTCCCCCCACTGGATTTTCAAATTACTTACTACTGTTTAATAGAAAAGATACTGTTTCATTTTATTCTTATATCTAGTCATTGTCCTTACCTTTTTTATTCATTCTAATAGTTGTTTGATCATTTATCTTGCATTTTCCAAGTAAATAATCATACCATCTATTTTAAAAGAAAGTAGGAGTGAGAGGGCTTTCCTCTTTTTCCAAATGTATAATTCTCTTGTTTTATTTTAAAATGTATTTGATAATGCATTCTAGAATAATGTTAAAGGCCAGCAATGATAGTAGGATCTGTGTCCTGCTCATCTCTTAATTAGAAATGTGTTTAGTATTTGATTATTAAATATGAGGCTTGCTATAGATTTCTTATAGATACATTTGATCAGGTTATAGAATTTTTCTTGTTTTCTCGATCTTCAACAACAGGAATGGTAGTTAAATTTGTTTTCCACTGCTTCTTCAGCACCTATCAATATGTTTCTAAAGCTTTTTTCTTATTTGTTAGTATAACAAATTATATTAATCCTTTTCCTAATTTTGAACCATTCTTGGATGACTGGTATAAACACTACCTAGCTATGATTTTTTAAAAAACACATTTCTGCTATTTTTATTTAAGCTTCTCTCTCTCTCTCTCTCACTCACACACACAGTATTCTCTCTTTGTCTGGTTTTAATATCAAGTTTCTGTGATATTTATAGAATGAATTGGGTAATTTTTCATGTTTTTCTATGTACTTGGAAATTTTATACAATGCTCCCCCAAAACTGTTACTTTTTGTTTATTTTCTCTTTCATTAATTTATGCTGTTTACTCCTTTTGTTTAATCATTTTAGGTTTTTCATTTTTACTCTTTTGACTTGAATGTTTTGTTTATTTCTGGTCTTTCTTATTTTTCAATATTGCACTTACATCTATTTATGTATTTTCCTTTCAATAACATTTTGCTTTCAATTCTGAGGTAGTTACGTGTGTTCTCATGGCTATTTCTAAATAGTTTGAAAATTCAGTTCAATTATTTTTACCCCAAGAGTAATTTAGAAGTGCTTTATTTTTTCTTAAGTGGATACTTTTTTATAATTAATCTGTACTTTTATTCACTGCAATCTAAGAATATGGTCTGTATAATTTATTTCTTAGAGTTTATCAAGCTTTATTTTATATCCTCATACACAGTTAATTTTACTAATGATTATGCTGATACTTAAATAGGATCTATATTAAGTTTGTTGGGTCCAAAGTTTTTATATTCATAATTTATTCACAATCATATGAATATGGAACCATCATATACATTATCCAAACTTTCTATACCAGGGCTTTGCAAACTTTTTTATGTACAGGGCTAGACAGTAAATATGTTAGGCTTTGTGGACCATGAGGTCTCTGTAGCAACTACCCAACTCTGCAGGAAAGCAGCTGTAAACAGGAGGTAAATGAATGTATATGGCCAGATTTGGCCCATAGACCGTAGTTTGCTGATACCTACTCTAGGTTCTTATTTATTTATTTATTTATTGCCTGATAAGAATACTATTGAGATTTTAAAAATTCAGATCTCTAGTTTTAAAGCTTTTTTCAGAGGCTGCTCTATACCTGGTAGTTGGGGGAGAATGGCCTGTCAGCTACATGTCCAGCACTTTCCTTTGTCCACTTGAGAACAATGATTATTTTTTGAGATGAACAGTGAGAAATAGAGGCAAAAGGCAGAGAGACCTTGTTTAGATTTTTAGACTAGTACCCATTTATTTATTTTTTTTATTTTAAAGAAATATTTATTTATTTAATTCGTTGAAAATAGAGGCAAAAGGCAGAGAGACCTTGTTCAGATTTTTAGTCTAGTACCCATTTATTTATTTTTTTTATTTTAAAGAAATATTTATTTATTTAATTCGTTGAAACATAATTGATTGTACATGTCTGTGGGGTACAGTGTTCAATATCAATAGCTGTGTGCAATATAGTACCCATTTTTTAAATACTCTGTCCCTGGCTTTAGAGTCACGTCTAAGGGGTTAATAGCTAAAATTGCATTTTCTGGCACTTTGTGTGTGGCTTAACATTTATTTGAGTTTCAATGTGTTAGTATGTTTTTTTTTCCCCTCTATAGTGAGATCCAAGAGCGAAAGGAATCCCCACCACCTCCTAAAACCTCAGCAGCCACTCAACTGGATGAGCTCATGGCTCATCTGAGTGAAATGCAGGCCAAGGTGAGTATAGTCATATGATAAAGCCTCCAGGGCCCACAGAGGCACCAGTTTGTCTTTGTGGAACTCAACTCTTCATTCTTCCCCTTAGGAATTCTTTTAATTGTCATTCATTTTTCCAGACTAAATTCATTCATTCATTCATTCATTTATTTTTATTGGTTATGAATATTCATGAGACACAAGGCTGATTGTCCCCCCTCTTGCCCTAG